CTAGGAGCAGCTAAACGACTGCTAGGAGCAGCTAAATGACTGCTAGGAGCAGCTAAATGTCTGCTAGGAGCAGCTAAATGTCTGCTAGGAGCAGCTAAACGCCTGCTAGGAGCAGCTAAACGCCTGTTAGAGGTAGTAAAATACTAGCGTAGCAAAAATCTACTATCTGAAAATAAAATACACAAAAGCCTAGTTAAATGCAGTGAAAAGGCACCTAAAAGTTAAAAGTATCAAATGTCTAACTAAAAACAAAATGTCGGAAGATACTAGCTAAAGGTAGCAAGAATTAAAAACTACAGTAAATGTAGTAAAAGGCTAACTAAAAACTACAAATGTCAGAATTGTAGCTAAAAGCTATAAAAAGCGGAATGGAAGCTTAAAAACTAGAAGTAGCCAAAAGTAGAGCCAGTGAACTGAAACAGATTTCATAGAAATTAGAAGATCTTGATGTAAATTTTTGGGGAAGTTTCAAATAAAGTTAAATATTTTATTGAGCATTAGAATAAAAATCAAAAATCATTAGAGCAATCTCTTGAATGAGCTGAAGGCTTTGATCTGTGAAGAGCTAAAACAGCACAAAGTAGGCGAAAGTAGTTAGATTGAACAAAATGTAGAGAAAAATAAAAAAACACTAGAGTAACCGCTGACTGTGGATTATTTGAAAATGTAAGATTGCCTCTTTCGAAGTAAAGCTTTAAAATTATTAGTATTTTTGTGCCTTCAGCTCATTTAGTTACTTAAAAAAAACACAGTGTTGTTTTGTTCCATTTACTTTGTAGGTTACGTTTCCAAACTCATGTCTCACACATTTTAAAAAAAGACGCTCTGCAAGTGTTTTCCACTCGTTTACTTTTATTTTAGCTTCTCTGTTACAGAACGATCACAGACTGGAATTTCCTTTTGGCCATCCCTGCTAAATTTACCTTCGCCTCGTGTTCAGAGCCTGAAATGTCATAAGTCTGTTCTCTGTAACGGAGCGAGAACACGCTCCACATCCGGAAGCTGAGCTGAAAGTCACGTCATCGTTCCTAAACGTAAAAATGACTGATTAGAGTTTTTACTGATGCAGTTCTGAGAGCAGACACAACAATTTACTTATTATTATTATTATTATTATTATTATTGTTATTATTGTTATCATCAATGCTTCTAATCCATCATGTACTGTTGAAATTCCTGTTTATTTAGGTATTTCAGCTGTTTATACTTCTTAGCCTTTTAGCTCTTTCTGCCAGTTTTCTCATTTAAAATGAATCAAACTGTCTTCAGCTTAATTAAAACCCTTCAAAATGTTTAAATCTTTATTGTAATTTTTATTCTTGTTCTGCTTTTTTTTCTGATTTTAGCTTTTTATTTTTCAGTTATTCTTCTTCTCCTTTCAGCTGTTCTTGTGTTATTTCAACTTTTTAGGCCTCTATCAGCTTATTTCTGCTAATTTTCACTTCTTTTTAATTTTTTTGGCTGATTTCTACCAATTTCAGAAGTTTTCTCCTTTTTTAGCTACGTTGTAGCTATTTTCACCTGTACCTCTTCTTGTCTTTGTACTAATTTCAGCTATTTTATTTATTCTGCTGATATTTGTCTGCTTTAGCCTTTTTACAACAAATTGCAATTTTTTTTGTACTCCCTTGTCTTTTTTTTCTGCCAGTGTGAGACTTTTTTTACTCTTCCTTCACCATCTGTTAACTAATTTATACTTTTGTTTCTTACTTTTCAGCAAAAGTCGGCTGTTTCAGTTTAACTCAAGCAGGTTTCCTACTAAACATTTTCAGCTTCTTCAGCAGCTTACAGGAAAAATCTTTCAGCAATAAGCATTAACGCTTGCCAACATTTTATTACCAAGAACAAAAGAAATAATCTACCACACATAAATGTAGTTACTTTTTGTGATGAGTTTAAATAGAAGCAACTGTTGAAGGTTTTGAAGCAGCCGGTTTGTGTCCAGCAGAGGGCAGCGGTGAGTTCTGTCCCACTCTGACCCGTGTTTTCTCTCCCCCACCTCCTGACAGCATGTTTGATGTTGGCGGCCAGAGAGATGAGAGGAGAAAGTGGATCCAGTGCTTTAACGGTGAGACTTTCAGAACCACATCACATCCAGATCTGGACCAATTAAAAGACAGATGCTGGACACCTTTAGCAGCAGCAGTTTGCTGACAAAATGCTGTTTTTATCAATAATCTCAGTTCTTCTAAGTGTTGCTAAACGAAAAAGCACACATCAGAACCTCTGCTCTGTCTTCCAGATGTCACTGCTATTATCTTTGTGGTGGCTAGCAGCAGCTACAACATGGTAATAAGGGAAGACAACAACACCAACAGGCTACGGGAAGCCCTGGACCTGTTCCGCAGCATCTGGAACAACAGGTGGGTCACAAGTCCCTGACTCGGGTCCACAAAGACTCTCCTCTGTCTCTGCCGTCTGATATTTGAATCATTCAGCTGAAAAACACTTAAAAAAAAAACAGATACGAAGGCTTCGACCTGTTATTAGATTAAATCCGAACGTTCTTGTGGGCCATCTTGGAATGGGCGGAGCCTAAACTTGTTTGTTTGTGTTTCAGATGGTTACGCACCATTTCAGTCATATTATTCCTCAACAAGCAGGACATGCTAGCTGAGAAAGTATTAGCTGGGAAATCCAAAATCGAAGACTACTTTCCTGAGTACGCCCGCTACACCATACCAAATGAAGGTTTGTCCCCACCCTCTGGGTGTCTTGGACCTTGGTTTTCCTTGTGCCAGTGTTTTAAAGGAGATTCTGCTGCTATTTCAGCAACTCCTGAACCTGGTGAAGACCCGAGAGTGACGCGAGCCAAGTTCTTCATCCGGGACGAGTTCCTGGTGAGTACAGAACCCAAAGTCCCGGACCCTCTGAGCCGACTCAGATCCTTTTAAATCCTGTTTTTACCTGCCAGGACTGTTTCTCTACAGCCTGTGAACATTATATTTAACAAACAGCTTTTAATTTTACTGTTTAAAGCTTTATTAGGAATATCAAGCTGTTATTTATGAGAAGCAAAGGTTCTATTTTTGCTCTTTTCAGAAGCAAGTTTTCATTTTGTTCCTTTTTTAGTTTATTTATTTTTTTCTTGCTGTGTCTCTTTTCTGTCAGAGTAATGAAGCCGCAGCTCAGCGATGACTAACGCTGATCTAATTTAGTCCAGCATCAGCCTGAAATGGTTGTTTGGTCAATGTCCGACACAAATTACCCACATTTGTTGAGTCTATTTTTAGACGGGCGACGGTGTAAAATTAGAGTTTTTATAGGTTTATAAATAGGTTGAATGGTGATTTTAACATCGGGTGAATCTAATTCCACTAAATGATTTTTTTGTCAACTTTATGTCTGCTAACAGCTAACTGACATGCTAACGTTAACAGGTTTGTCAGTCCCACCAGTCGAAGGAGACGAAGACGTGTGACGCAGACTGGCTGTCATCTGAGCAATTAGCTATTAGCAATAGCTTCCTCTAATTGTTTTACTTGTTTAGTTGTTTAGCGTTAGCAAAGCTATATTTTTACTTAGCAGATTCTGAGTTAGCGAAGCTAGCTCGGTTAGCTGTGCCCAGCACTGCGTTTTGATTCTTCTGCTTGTGTGGGGTCATATCAGACCTGTAGATGGTTCTACAGGATGGACCACAGACTTCAGAGAGGTCAACCTCAGACCTGAAGCTACGGTGAGACCAGATCGTCTGATTCCTGCACAAGTTTTAAGTCCTCCATGTAAACAGGATATTATTTTTGTTAAAAGATAAATATAAATGCACCTGAGAACATTTAATTCAGATAGGTTATATGTCATGGGTTGCACAAACAGTGTTTTTCTTGATGGAACTGACATGAAGCGATAATGAATATTGTAAAAAAAAAATTGCAGACAAAAGATCAAAAGATTGTGTGGACATTGATATGATGTTTGTAAAGGAAATAATGAATTATGTTATTGAGCCATTTACATATATATGTAATTTATCATTTTCAACGGTATATTTCCAGATAATATGAAAACAGCCAAAGTATTTCCTCTCTTTAAGAATGGTGAGAAATGTTTGTTCAATAATTGCAAACCAATATCCTTGTTACCACAGTTTTCAAAGATTTTAGAGAAATTACTTGTGCTTAGATTGGATCAATTTATCGATAAACGTAATATTCTTAGTAGCAGTCAGTATGGGTTTAGAGCTAACAATTCCACATCAATGGTACTCATGGACTTAATAGAGCAAATAACTGCTGTTGATCATAAACAATACTGTGCCAATATTTATGTTGACTTGAAGAAAGCTTTTGACACCAGTGACCACAGTATTATTCTTGAAAAATTGAACAAATACGATATTTGAGGACCAGCGCTACAGTGGGTGTCTAGTTATTTAAAGGATAGGAAACAGTTTGTACAAATAAATGATACAAGGTCTGAATTAAGTAATATTACATGTGGGGTTCCTCAAGGTTCTGTACTTGGACCGAAGTTGTTTATTTTATACGTAAATGATTTGGTAAATGTGTCAGGGTTGTTTAAATGTGTGTTATTTGCAGACGACACTACATTTTTTTTGTTTTGGCAAAAATATAGAACGGATGTTGGAAATGATGCAGATAGAATTTGCTAAAATATAAACCTGGTTTAAGCTTTATAAATTATCATTAAATTTAGATAAGATTAATTATATGATATTAAACTGGTGTTCCATTTAGAATCTATGGTATTGAGATCTGTAGAGTCAGTGAGGTGAAGTTTTTGGGTGTCATAGATGAAAAGCTGACATGGGGACCTCATGTACATCATTTAAGAACAAAAATAGCCAAGTCCATTGCAGTATTGTACAAAGTAAATGATTTATTTAATGATAAAGTGTACAAAGTAAATGATTTATTTAATGATAAAGCTCTGTTTATATTATATAAAGCAATAATTGTTCCACACTTGATCTACTGTATTGGTGTTTGGGGAAAATCGTGCAAAACAATTATAAACCCAATTTTTGTTTTACAGAAAAGAGCTGTAAGATTTATCACCAGAAAGCATTATTATCACCCATCAAATTCATTGTTCCATCAGTTGAAGTTATTGAAATTCTATGATTTGGTTAATTGTGGTATTTTATCAGTCATGTATAGGGCTCATAAAAAACATATTACCTTCAAACATACAATTACACTTTGTTAAAAGAGAGAGTTGTTATAATCCCAAAGGGATAGAGATGTTTGTTGAACCCAAATTTAGAACCAGTTTAAAATAACAGTACTTCAGTCCAGGGTATAAGATTATAGAATAATCTGGAAGATGTCATTAAAAATGCCAGATCTATGAGTACATTTAAGAGAATAATAAAGAATAATTTGCTGGAGAAATACGTAAAAATATGAATTGTTCAAGGAGTTAACCTTTGTATTTTTTTTTTATAAACTAAAGATTATTTTTGATTGAATTTATTTATTTGAGAAAAAGGGGCAGAAAAAATGAGATTTTATCTTCTTCTGCTACCTTTCATTTAAATTGATATGTATTTTTGTTGTATGCTGAATTTATGTTTTTTAAAAGAAATTAATAAACCAACTAATAACTAACTAACTAAATATTGACACGTTGATTCCTAAAGTTCTTTTCTTGCTACATGCTAATTTTTTTGAACACTTATCTGTAAATCAGTTATTTCATGATTAAAATAAAGGACAGCTTACACCATGGTTTTGTGCGGGAAAGTGGGCGGAGCTTAAAGGGGACATATGCTAAATTTTGTTGTTAAAAGCAATTTGTTTTGAGTCTCCAGGAGTTCAGAAAATTTGAATTTGGTCTCAACCCATTCAGTTTTTTGTTACATTTTCTGAACTTTTCCATCACAGTATTTGCGATGGAGCTAACAAATAAGGTCTTACCAGCTACAATTTGGTGGTCTTCGTTGTAAAACGTTCCTGTGCAGCTATATAGTCGTGAACCCCTCTATGGAAATACAATGGACCGCTCTGAAAGCTAGCGTACTACATGTGGAGCTTTTATTTTGAAAAACGATCCAAGGAGCTCGTCTCAAAGTTGAGAGCAGCTCTTACCTGTTTTAGTAACTTCTCGTCTCTCTCCCACCCCCCCTCAGCGGATCAGCACTGCGAGCGGCGACGGCAGACATTACTGCTACCCCCACTTCACCTGCGCCGTGGACACGGAGAACATCCGGCGGGTGTTCAACGACTGCCGGGACATCATCCAGAGAATGCACCTGCGGCAGTACGAACTCTTGTGATGGACAGGAGACCGTCTCCATCAGCCTTCTGTGTTCTATCTCCGCCATTCTGCACCCCGACGAACCCTGACTCCTCCCCCCACACCCACCCCCTCCACAACCGTTAGAGACCCCCCCCCCAGACCACCCCTCATGTCCAGGAATATGAAGTACTACTGAAGTGTGTCAAATCCTCTTCAACCCCCCTTTTTTTTTTTTTGTTTTTCTCTTCGATTTGTCCCCATTTCTCCGAAGTCAAAGGAACATTTTGGGGGACAAAGTCGTTGCGCTGCTTCTTGATGTTTTTTCTTTGAATCCTTCGTTTTTTTGTTTTTTTTTTTGTCATTCCACTAAGCCTTGGGCTACCTCCTGATTTTATTTTATTTGTGTCTTTACCCACTTTTTTTGTTGTTTTTGGGACCTGGGAACAGAAAACACGAACAGGACCTCAGCGCAGAGGCCGAGTGTGTGAGGAGGATCTGTTCGTGACGCCGCCACCGTGACTTTAGCCAACTTTTTTTTTTTTGCATTATTTTTTAACGCTCCACCTCCTCCTCTTTCCTCCAGCCTGCTTCTTTTTCCCCCTCTCCGTTGTAAAGACTGAAGAAACCGTGCGTGCACTTTGCATCAGGTTCCCCCCCCCCCACCTTTTTTTATGTTGTTGTTGTTGTTTTCTCCAGAGGAAGCATACACACACAATGTAGCATCACCATATTTATTACCGTACCGCCACGTGGGCTCGCCGCGCTGCAGCAGCAGCCGAGACGCGTGGAGCGAGAGGCTGAAAACGAGGGGAAGGGGGGCAGGACGACGACCGAGCTCTCTGCACCTTAGCCATGCTGCCTCCACGGACTCGGACCGGCGTCTTTTTTTTTTTTTTTTTTTCCTTCCTCTTTTAGCTTCTGACGACGAGGAGGATGGGAGGGAAAGGACAGGGCGGGAGAGAAAAATGTATTGTTCTTTTTTGTTTGTTTTTTGTTAACTTGTACACTGTGCAAGGTCGAATTATCCTGTACAGACTGTAAAGTGTAATATTATTTTGTACAACTTAATTGAAAGAAAAACAAATCTACTTGTAGATCTTTGTGCCTTGATTATGGCTGTACCTGTAAATGAGCTCAGATGTAAGTATGTTTTCGACTGCGCTGTACAGCTTGATGTCAAACTCTATCGGCAGCAAAAAGACTGCAGGTAGGGGACTTTCTCTGTAGAGTTTAGTTTTTTCTGGTTTATAAAAATAAAGGAAATGCTCTTTAGTAAAAAAAAAAATACAAAAAAATAGGGGAAAAAAATCCTAAAAACCTGTATACATTATGCAAATTAACCACTTACCTGCAGTGAAGACCAGATGTTGCAGCGCCATGCCTTTTATTTGTGGTTTAGTTTCTTTTTTTTTCTTTTTTTTTCCTTCTTATATAAATATATATTATTATTTTTTTGAATTTCACAGCTTTAAACAAACATTGGGAATCCATTGAAAGTGTCCAAATTGCAACCTGGTGTTGTTTTAATAGGAACCAACTTCTTATTTTGTTTTTAATGTTTTTTTTTTGTTTTTTTTTTTGAGACGAAGCGTGTGTGCCTGTGCGCATGTGTACATAAAGACAAACATAGACTCACAGAAGCATTGTGTGTGTGTGTGTGTGCGTGAGCGAGCGCGTGCCGTGCGTGTAAAATTTTATAAATGTATGTACATGTAAATTTATAGGTCTATATAAATATATATGTACAATTATACATGTTTAATTATGTGTGTGCCTAGGTGTACATACCTATGTATGTATACGGTAAATATGTATACATACACACATAGGAAAGCATGTTTAGGATGGAGACGAATAAATGAGAGCGTGCAATATTAGTAATTTTTGGTCCTTTGGAGCCATACTTAATGGCACAGGCACTATGAATGTGTGAGCGGCACCCAACAGACGAGCTCTTTTCCTTGTACAAACAGCATCAGCCTTTTTTCTTCTGCTACAGTAAAAAARKWAAAWWAAAAWTTAAAAAAAAAATCCCCCGAGAGAGCGGACTGACTGGAGGCGCTAAGAAAAACAAGCCTTTGTTTTGGCCTGGGGAGGTTGATTAAATGACGTTTTTATTTTTCTTTAAATAAAGAGGCACATTAGAGGACTTTGCTTTATTTCCATCTTGGTGTCCGGTTGTTTATTTCGATTCAAGTCTTTTTTTTTTATTATTGTTTGTTTCAGGATTTAAAGCTGCAGCTGCTTGGATTCCTCTGGTCTTGATTTAAGCAAAAGTTCTGCTTTAATTGTTTATTGTCAAACTAACCAGGATTGAGCAGTTATTCAAGTGTTTGAGTTCGGCTCGGATTTGTTTGCTATCAAAAGACCAAAAATCTGTGCGTTCTGCCGAAGTGACTGGAAATACGTTAAACGCGTTAAACTTGCTACAGACGGCTCAAAGCTCGAGTTTCAGCTTTGTGTACGTTGAATGCGTACCCTTATTTTCAAATTGACCGGAAAACTAATTCAGTGCAGTCAGGTCCTTAAATATCGGAACATCGACACAATTTTTACATTTTTGGCGGCAAACAATGAAATGAAAATATTTGTTTTAAAGGGAAAATCCGCTCTTTTTAGCCTTTAAATACACGGTTCTGCAGGTCCGTCTTCAGTCTCTCGCTCTGCATCCAACATGTAAGGCTCGACAGACAAGTCTTCCCTTGTTGATGTATTATAATCATTTCTAAATAAAAAAAATTTCTGAGCTGCTATATAGCCGTAAACCCCTCCTATCAAACTAGATAGATCTGGAAGTGGGCGGGGTTTCCTAAAAGAAATCACATTTATATATATTTAATCCAGGAGAATTGGTTTCATATTTATCCAACACAGTTCTTTGTTTATTGCACAGAAAACTTTATTTCCTACAGCTCATCAGAAAAGGTTTGGCACAAAAAGTCAAAGATAAATACGTTGTGTTGTGCATCAGTGAAACAAAAAGAGAAGCCGTGAAGGACGAACCTTCAGGAACAGGAAACAAACAGGATCTGTGTGTTTTATGACTTAAGAGACATGAACCTCCAACATAAATCAGACAAAATATTTATACATCTTTAATCCATCTCTTAAAAGTCGTGTTTTCGTGAAGTCGGTGTTCACTTCGTTATAATCATCAATGCCAGCACTGATAAACTTTAAAAACATCTAAAACACAAAGTCTGTATCGGGGCCGACAGGCCTTCAACTCAGAGGACGAGGAGCAGGAAACGGCTCCGTTGAACACCAGGTGCACTCTGGGTAACGTAGTTCAGAGAGACTTGTGCTTCCCCAGCAGGCAGAGGCTGAGCTGCAGCAGACCCTTCACCCACAGACAGTGGGCCAGGAGCAGCAGCAGCAGGCAGGCTCCGGCCGAGCAGTACACCCCGATCACCGTGCTCTCCTCCGGCAGGAAACACTTGGACAGGCTGTAGCTGCTGGAGGACACCGACGCCTGGGAGGAGGGAGAGGGCGGGTGAGTGTCCGTGTATCTCCTGAGCCAGCAGGGGGCGCCAAAAGATTCACACTGAAGAACAGATTCTGGTTTCTCTTCAAAAAATTTTACATTAAATCTTTTACTCAGACGCTTCATGTCCATTAGGTTTTTAGCTCATATTTTCACTTGAATGCTTTTAAATTTAGCATTTTGATACTTTAAGCTAACAATTTCATATTTTAGCTTCCAGCTAGCAGTATGCTATGTTAGCCGTTTTAGTGCTAATTTTAGCTTTTAAATAGCATTTTGCTCCATTTAGCTTTAGGATGCATGTTGTTCATTTCAGCTTGTGTTTTAGTCCATTAGGTTTTTAGCTGATGTTTTTTACTAGGATGCTTTTAAATTTGATTGAGCATTTTGATACTTTAGGCTAACACCTGATATTTTCAGCGTCTAGCTAATGTTTTGCTATTTTTGCAATTTTAGTGCTAAATTAGCTTTTAAGTAGCGTTTCACCCATTTAGCTTTCAAATGTGTTTTGCTAGTTTTAGCTAGCATTTGATTTTAGTCCATTCGGTTTTTAGCTGATGTTTTTAATTTGATGCTTTTAAATTTAATCTAGCATTTTGCTACTTTAAGCTAACACTTTTGATATTTCCAACTAGTGTTTTGCTATGTTAGCTGTCAGTGCTAATTTTAGCTTTTAAGTAGCATTTTGCTAACTTTATCTAGCATTTCAGTCTATTGGGTTTTCAGCCTTTGTTTTTAATAGGATGCTGTTAAATTTGATTTAGCATTTTGATACTTTAAGCTAACAATTTAATATTTTAGCTTCCAGCTAGCAGTATGCTATGTTAGTTGTTTTAGTGCTACTTTTAGCTTTTAAATAGCATTTTTCTCCTTTTAGCTTTAGGATTCATATTGTTCATTTTAGCTTGTATTTTAGTCCATTAGGCTTTTAACTGATGTTTTTAATTTGATGCTTTTAAAATCTGATTTAGCATTTTGCTACTTCAAGCTAACACTTTGATATTTCCAGCTTCCAGCTAGTGTTTTGCTATGTTAGCAATTTTGATGCATCTTTTTTAGTATTTCCGATTAACATTTTTGCTCAGAAACTCCATGTCGATGTGCAACTAATTGACTAATTTTACTCCAATTGTAACTGTTTTAAGTTTGCTTTATTTTCTACTGACCAACTTCAGAATTCACCATCTATTATAAAAGAAAACACAAACTTAGAGCCAACATGACAAATATATAAAATCAAACTCTTATGATTTCTTGTCTGATTTCTATGTTATTCATTTAGTTGTTAATTTCTACAAAATGAACTGTTTAAAACAGGTCCAGGTGCCTGAAAAATGCTTAAAAAGAGGCGTCCTAATCGGGTTGTTGATAGCTRAACATTTAAGATGAAGGGAACTAATAAACTCAGCACAAAAAGTAAGTAAATGTGTGTTTGGTAGATTATTTCTGTGTTGTAACAATGCTTCTCAGCAATAAATCTTATACTGCTGGAAAGCCTGTTAACTCCGCTTTGAAATGGTGCCACATTTGTAAGGAACATGCATTAATGGGATGAGCAGTAGAGCTGAGTGTGTGGCTTGCGCTCATGAAATATTTGCCAAATTTTCTCTGCCAAACAGCTGATTCTGCTGTTATCAGTGTGCATTGTTGTGATTCGTTTCCCATCCAAGTCATCTCCACTTTGCCAYGCTTCTCCTCCTGCATACTTTGTCCTAGAGCTGCCATTGTAATTTATATCTGTAAAGCCCCTGTGCCAAATGATGGCTATGCCTTTTGGTGCCTGTAAAACTTATTGTTTTTGAAATATTAATGTTTAATAAATTATAATTGCAGTCAATGGAGCCTTGTATTGGTCCAATACTGCCCCCTGCTGCCTCTACACAATATGATACTGCACCATAGTTTTATAATATTTAAACTCAGTAGTTCAGTGATTACAATATTAATATGATTGTATTTTGATGTTTTACTGTAATACTGTCTTTATGTTGTCCTATTGTTGTAATATATTGCACTTAAGTGTCAATAATTGCATTGGCAAGGTAAACTTTTTCTGTATACATACAATCCAATCCCTGGAATTGTCCTCTGCCACATCTCCTATAGTCTCATGATGAGCACTGTGGGCTTTCATGCGGGAGATCAGGGTTCAAATCCAGCTACTGCAACTTTAACAAAAATCTCTTCAAACTTCATATTGTCACACACTTACCTTAATTACAAACACCTGCTGACATGACAGGCACAAGCTGGTATAGAAAACACATTTGAACTTGGTCAAAGCTCATTCTGAAAGGCCAATGCTCCTGCATACATTGTCCTACAGCTGCCATTGTAATTTCTATCTGTAAAGGTCCTGTGCCAAATGACTGCTATGCCTTCTGGTGCCTGTACAACTTGTAGTTTTTGAAATATTAATGTTTAAACTTTATTCCATATTTATATAAAGAGAGTCAATGGGGCCTTGTAATGGTCAAATACTGCCCCCAGCTGTACTCAACTTGGTACTGCACCATAGTTTTTTAATATTTAATCTCAATAGTTCAGTGTTTACAATACTAATATGATTGTATTTCGATGTTTTACTATATCATTGTCTTAATACTGCTCTATTGTTGTAATATTATGCAGTTTAGTGTCAATAATTGCATTGGCAATGTGGCCTCTTTCTGCACACGTACAAACCAACCCCTGCCACCACATTCTGCCACAGCTCCAACAGTCTAATGGTCTATGTCATGGACTTTCATGTGGGACATCAGGGTTCAAAACCCAGCTAACGCAGCTTTAACAAAAAATCTCTTCCAACTTCATATTGTCACTCAATTACTTTAATTACAAACACCTGCTAACGTGACAGGCATAAGCTGGTTTAGAAAACACATTTGAACTTGGTCAAAGTTCATTCTGCAAGTCCACTGCTGCAGGCAAAGCCATGCTACATGGCAATGCACACTTGTTTTTACATAGTAAAAACCCATGTTTAGTTGACTCTTGTTTTGAGCTTCTGGTCTCCTCAGCTGCTGCTATAAGATTTGTTGTTACAACAACAACAAAAAAAAAATCTACCAAATATAAATTTATTTTTGTGCAAAATTTCTAATGAGTCAAAGTGATTTTTACCAGGATGAAGCTGGGGTTGTTTCTGTTCCTCCAGCTGAACGACGGCACGCTGATTTCMGGGTACTTGTTGTCGTGGAGGAACTCGCAGCCGCTGTGGGTGTGTCCGCTCAGGATGAGGCGGGGCTTAAACCAGCGGAGCAGCTGAGGAGAACAAACAGCTTCAGAGTCCCGCGGCTGYTTCCTCGCAGGTTTGTTTTTGTTTTTTWAAAGGAGAAGAGGAGGARGACTCACCCGCTGAGACGCCTCCTTCGACAGCACGTCGTACTTCTCTCTGAACAGCAGGTGGCGCTCTTCGGGCGGCGCGGCGTCCTGGCCGGTGCAGCTGGCGTCGCTCACTCTGAACAGAGGATAATGCTGCAGAAACAGGAGGACAGATGTTTCAACATGTGCAGCGTAAGCCTTCTGAGACATGGCTTGTGTCTGTTAGCAAAATATCTCAAGAACCACTGCATGGATGTCAAGGAAACCTTCAGGAWATAATCACTGGATATTAATTTAAAACTCATTAACTTTTGGGGTCAGTCTGAGTCAAGATGGCTGCTCAGACGGCTGACATCAGAAAACACAAAAAAGGCTACAATTCAGTCAATTTTACACACATTGTGACTAAATTTTGGTTTGGTTGTAGCTGAAAGTTATTTATAACTTTGTGCTCCTCCTCATAACTATAAATCTTTGCTTAAAACTAACTTCTGGACTCAGTCCTGTTTGTTAGCAAAATATCTCATGAACTACAAGACAAACTTTAGCAAGACTTTCACAACACTGAGCAAACATCTACAACTGATTAACTTTTGGAGGTAATCTAATTCAAGATGGCGGCCATAGCTAGTGAATATTTACAAACACAAAACTGAACAYAAGTCACAGTATTTCACAGACGCTGAGGTGTGGTGTGGTGCACTGGAACCGCTAAGAACGATCCCCCCCCACCGTCCTGCAGCCTGCTTCTGCCACGCCCACCTGCTCCTCAGGTGTTTCCTGTTCAGCTGATGAGTTCTTCTGGTTTCAGTCTGGCGTCAAGCACCGTCTTCAGTTTCTAATGATCTGTTCTCACATYGTAGTGAGTTACCTTAAAAACAAACCACCCCCAAAATGTCACGCCCCACAAATGACTCTCAGCTACTACATCGAAATTTAGCTCAATATCTATAAAACTGACGGCGTTATAGCCATTTTGCTTAATGTGGTCAGCTGTGGCGGCCATCTTTAATTGGAYTGGCTCCAAAAGTTAATGATCAGTAGAGGTGCAACCAGAGAATATTTCCTAAAAGTTTCATTGAAATCTGTGCAGCGGTTCATGAGATATTTTGCTAACAGACGAGCACCTCGGTCGTTACCTGCAACATGATGGGGGCGGTGGGYGGGTACGAGCGCGCGCCCTCGCAGTTTTCCTTCCCTTCGCCGTTGGACTGAGCGTTCTGCACAGATTTAAACACAAAGAGTTCATCCTGATGCTGATAGCGTAAAACCTGCAGGAGTTTATTTTTATTTATTTATTTTTATTTACCTGAAGAGAACAGTAGAGGTCTCTGGAGAGTCGGATCAGCTCCTTYTCCACCGACTGGCAGATGGGGCAGCCGTCACCGTGCAGCGCCACACTGTTCACCAGCAGGAAGCTGCAGACACCAGAGGAGCCGTCAGCACAGCTGTAATGTAACTAAGTACAAATACTTTGTTACTGTACTTAAGTAGAATTTTTGGGTATCTGTACTTTACTTG